GGGCTATAGGTGCGAACGATTAGGGTCCTTAACCAAAGCCTTTGGCTTAAAAGCCTGTTCGCAAGGCAGCGGGGTGGTGGCAATGATTTAGTTTTACAGAAACCTGGAGGACCAAGAGACTCAGTTTGTCTGACCTTTAACCATTAACTAACCTGGTAGGAGTAGCTCTCAAGAGGTGCCGGGGCACCACCCAGTATAGCTCAATGGGTGAAAAAGTATACAAACCGTCGCACCACGTTAAGGTCCAGTTTCGTTGCGACGGTACCTGCGTGGTAATGATTGGTTATGACGAGGGGCAATGAAAGCCGCAAGGAAACTGTTTCGCCGATCCTGCCTTATCATTGCACGATAGCCAGCTGTTTGCGAGGTATGTTGCTGAGTAGGTGTAGGCATCTTGATTCTGAATGTTTGCTTAGAGTATTAAAGTCTTCCGGCAAGTCTCTCTTCTCAACCTAATTGTTTTTCGTTCTGTAGGTCGTTATTGTTGTATGGCGGCGAAGCATCACTTCAAGTGGCTGATGTACTGCTGTTGATGATGATAATGTCTCAAGTAGGCGCCAAAAGCAATCCTTATGGTACATTTAGGACAATTCAAGTCAGCACTCGGCTCATCAACCTAACTTATTACTGGTAACTTGTGGAGCAGTTCGTAATAATACTGTGAACTGTGGACTGAGAGTCCAAGTTACAGATGAATGCCAGCTGCGGCTAATTCACGACTGGGAAGAGGAAAAGGGAGGTATCAGCAGTACGCAGTCCCGACGCTTCGCTGCCGCACAAACACCACCGGTTGCACGTGGGCTAAGGATACTGCGAGGTTTGCCAGGTCCCTACGCAGGCTCAAACCTGCGACTTCAGGTTACAAGGCAGGCTTGTGATACTTAAGGCTATGAGCCGGGAACGGAAATAGTACAGTCGGTTAGGCCTTCTCGCAGACACGCAATGACTTGTCATTGCTCTCCAGTAGGATAGTGAGAACTGCTAAGGTTCACCAAGAGGTCGGAAGATGATGGATATGAAAAGCGGAGGCCAAGTTGATGTATTAAGGGTCACGCTTCACCGAAGTGAAGGCATCAAAGAGCAAAAAGGCGTCATACAATGCAGGCAAAAAAACGATATAATCTAAGTGGAGACAATCGAAGGTGCGCTATGACTGGGGTTTCTGATGAACACACAATACATGTTATATCACATGTGACTCTATACGAAATAACGGGTCAACGACGCTAGAGATGTCAGTTAGTATGAGTACTACTTCGGACAATAAGGAAATACTAAGTCACCTGGACTAGGTAGGACAGAAATCCCGGAGCTAATTAAACGCATCGGTGGGTTACATGAGATGGGGGAGGGGGGAAGAGTGTGGATAAGGTTCAGTGGCCACGCCAAACAAAAAGGATACATGTTTCAATATTCGCGCCAGCAATGAAACCAGAGGTGTCAAAATTAATTCGGACGAATTTTCCCTAAAATAAATGTTAAAGAACGGTGAAGGCATAGTATGATCAAGGAAGGGTGGACACTGACTAAAGGTTACTACGATATAAGGTTAACTATAGATAAGAGTGGCAGAAACTGTCAGACAAAATTTAACGAGTCTCGAGAAAGCCACATTACAATGAACAGCTGGTGGGCATGAAAGAGAAGTCAAAACTGTCCGAGTGACTGAGATCAGTAGTGAGTGCGTATTATGACCACGGAGAACAGAAGTAAATGCTTCGCTTACATCTTCTGAACTGAGTAGGGACCGTCTGAACTCATCTGGCGAAAGATAGCCAAGAAAATAAGCTACCAGCAATTTTACAAATGTAAACAACTTAATGAAACGCTTCCCGAATAAATGGTAAAATGATTGGGAAGTAAACTAACCGAGTGGATGATGGCGTGTTCCTTTTCGGATTTCAATGATAGACTAGAGTATATCTGTTCGCTGTCAGCGAACCGCTAGGCCTCGAACTAGTGTGAAGTGCCAACATATGTTGATGGAACAAGGTGCCGCCAGGATTCTATGATATCATATGGTTAAAATAGTCCACATACACGTACTCTCTAGAAGGAATTGGGAAATTCGACTAAAGGACGCCTGGCCACTCGCGCAGTGGATACCGTAGACCGCTGCCAAGCAGCCACGAATTTGGGTCAAAGGTTTTGTTTTGCAAGAAATGTCCCTTATCCGCCTAGGTTAGGGTGTCCTAACTCACGTGCGATCATTTACTGCTGCATAACATCAAAGTGAAACCACAAAATGCGAGTGTACAGATGATATAAAAAAGGATCGTGAGACCCGAAGGTATTGAGTCAAATACCATGTCAGCACAGATGCAGCGTACTAACTGATGATTTCAAAGACGGTAGAGCCATTTAAAATGCAAAACAGCTTTGACAAAATATAAAATACTCGGGCAGAAATGAAAACGGGTCGATAACTACCGAATTTACCACTAAGTCTTAGAAAGCAAACATGTGAATGTATTTTGCGGAAGCCAACTTAAGGGGATATTTATCGAGATTGAGGGGAAAGAGTCAAGACAACGTTCAAGTGGCCACCATGCATCCGGGAAGATGGTGGACGGCAGTTTTTCATTGAGACTAGACAGAAGTTTGCACACCCATCCGCAAACAAGCTAAAATCCAACAAATCTCCTGGTTCGATGTAGCAATAAAACCAGTGAGCAACGGAAATTATCGGATGCTGCGGCAGCGGAGGATGAAACACATAAAACCGCAGAAAGTTAGTTATTTATGAAGACAGATTCCCTTCTGTGGTATCCGGAAGTATGTATCTATTAGGACTAGGAGCAGTCAATGGATGGTAAATGATACTGCATTTATGTTGTTGAAGGGGGTAAACGAAGTCTGTAAATTTTATCCGAGAGTACCGTTAGTAAACGAAGCGCTGGATCAGTTGCATAGGCTCTGAACTGCGTTCACCAATAGTAAACGATGCGACATGGGACTGTCTCGAAATCGAAGCGTGCGGGAAAAAGAAAACGGTAAAAGATGGAAGAAAACGGTATCATTCGCTGCGGCATCGAGGTAACACACCGTGTTAACAATTGAAAGTTGTCCACCTTATCGGCAAGTAAACCAATCTATGTTTACTTCTACTTAAAAGCTGACGAAAGCGGACAAACGAGGAATTCAGTTTGAGTACGCTGTCTCACACGACAATTAGGCGTCATGTGAATAGAATACAAGAAAACAGAAACCACGAATAAACTGTGACACCATAGCAACCCATTGTAAACCTGTGTGAAGATGCCATCAAGTCTCTAATTCTCGTATAAACAGGTGGTACTCGGGCTTCCTTCTTTCAACTAGTCATTAATGCTATAAATCCATAAATCCATTAGAAAATAGATTGGCGAAGGAGAATGTGACAGTTGAGTAGAAAATGAGGTGAACGGTTAACTTACAAATCGGGATGAGTTGTCGTTTTTTATAGTCTTCGCATTACCAAATGCTTCCAATATCGGATTAGCTTTAAGCAGCTGCGCCTCAAGCTCACCCTGAAAATCAACAGTACTTGTGAGCGGAGGAGGAAACGAAGTAACTAAAAGACAACAATCTACACGGGTGCTAGATGCAAACTTTTAAGTGTTCACACTAACCGAAGAGCACGCAAACTAGCACAGACCAAGACGAAGAGAGGAATACCGCCGAAGGTAATGCACATCGGATCTACAAGGATAGTTGTCACCAGGAGTAAGTACACGCAAGCAGTGGAGCATACACTAGACAAAAAGTTGGAGGAACCATGCAGCAGCATTCGGGAAAACTTGCCATAATCGTGCCAGACCGTTTAGCGACATGGTTAAGCTAAAATGTGCGAATGTGATGGATAACCAATCGGAGACAATGCGCGCTTTCTCGAGCAATGATGACAAAAGATCGCACTTACAATGTTGACGTTCTTCGACTAAAAAGTAAAGTATAACAAAACAAGAGCAAGGTAAATACCAACAATGCTATGAAGCGAAGGTAAACAACAGACAGTAATTTATAACGGATAAAAATGTAGATACTCAACAGATCTGATGAAATGGTCAGGGTGAAAAGTACAAAAATCAAGAGACTCATCACCACTTTAAATGGGCTCCTTCATAACACTGATGTGAGTGTGAATCGAACGCTCGCATATACAACAACAGATTGTTTTCAAATCTTTCTGGTCTGTTCCAAGCAAATTTTGAAGGTGAGAGGCAATTACTGGCTGATGTTTTATGGGTGAAAGTAAAAAGGTTTATGTATGTGTCCACGCAATGTATAAAGTCAGTATTCCGGCGTAGCACAGTCTATGTAACGGAGTAAAAATAGCTAAGAGCATCATTCAATAGCATTTTAAAGATATTAATAATAAGGGAGAGAGTTCCAAGATTGGAAAGCCCGAAGGGAAAAGTAATGTCGTTGGCATTCTAGGCGGCTGTATTATTAACTCACTATTCAAGTGATTATTTGTATTGTGATTGAGTTTCAGTAAATGATGCCACATGCGACTGGGGTCACATAACATTTGTAGCACCGCTAAAAACCCTCAGCACCTTCAATGTTTGCTGATAAGAGGTTGCGTAGACCCTTGACGTCTTTAGCATCTCGAGGTCGCGTTTCGATCAAGATTATTAAGCACGAATAGCGAATCCAACGTGAAGATGAAAGTAAACTTTGTGTATCGTCGGGACGATTGAGGAATTAAGACTTTCGTGTGCTCTCCGCAACAGGCCGGCGTGTTGGTTGTTACTTTTAAGGTAGCCGCTTCAATTAGTTTTGGGGACATTATGCATGAGCACGCCAAGGTTGCGTTCCTTGGAACTGGTCCGCAGTCTGTGTGCCCCAAACTGCAGTCAGCTATGGCTGGCTCGCCGAACAACCTCCTCGTGGTGCCAGCTGGGCGGTTCGGTAGTCTTCCGTTTCGGCGAATGGTTCAGCGGCAGTGTTCCAGGACGTCGTTGGTTTTTGCCTGGCAAGCGTCCTCCCTATAAAAAGCCACAAATGTCCGTCTAACACTGCGACGTGACGGATGTGACACGCCACTAAATATAGTCACTGACTCTTGTCTCATTTGGAGACATTGTACACCGGAAAGCAATCCGAGCATCGGATCTTGTCTCTGACTTCGGGAGTGTTGCGCCCCTGGCATGGCTTATCATCATCTGGAAGGCGTATGAACTGAGTGTCCAGTCACCTCATTTCCTCCTGCTGCCTTATTGGTTAGGCCCATTGGCCAAAAGCTAGGGGAGGTAGTCGCCTAAGACAACTTATCTACCTTGACCTAGGCAACCGGGTAGTATCTCGCCTACTAACGAACCATGGTTGGTTAGATACACTTGTTGATATGGCTAGGAGCCGATTTCAATGGCATTCGTGCAGTGAGTTTCTTTGTCCCACCCCATCCCTCTTAGCCTCCCCCTCCAACCATGATCTCATTATTTAGCACTTTATAATTATGCGTAGTAGATTATATTTCTTCTGCTGAATAGCAGCCGACTGGTAGCTTACCGGAACGATGCCCATCCGTTACCGGTAGCTCAGCTGGCTTGAAACTGTTGCTTTTTATTCCCTTTTTCCTTTTAGGTATTGCGGCACAGTAGCTGAGGTGGTTTTCACCTTTAGCTAACATGTATAGTGTGTAACGAATCATGGACTTAACTACAGCTATTCACACGCTCTTTTGCTGCTACTATGTTATTCACTTATGCTACCATGTCAAGTTCACAAGCACACGCCACCACTTTACCTACCCTTACCTTGTACCAATCAAACCCATTTACCTGATCAACCCGACCTCCACCGGTGAACCTGTTCCCGTGCCATCTGCCAACTCAACCACACAGTACTCAACAGAGTGCTATAGGCCCCGAAGTCTCCCATCATCGCTCCTGCAAACCGTAACGCAGTTCAAACTTGCAGCCTTTAAGGTACGCACACTACTGCAGATCGGTCAACAAGCTGGACTTGCACACACGCTAGAGGAACTTGGAATTGATGTCTGCTGCCTGAGTGAAACGCGACTCCAGGACTCCAACTCGATCTACCAGCTGGCGTCACCGCTCCACCTACGCACCCGCTTCCATTTCCGTCTCGCTGGTGAAACCGAGTCTGCCGCATCTGTGCAAGCTTGTGCTGGAACCGCCCTCAGTGCTAGAGCCGAGGCTGCTCTGATTGGTTGGGTTCTGATCAATAGTCGCCTTTGTGCGATGAGGCTCTATGGCTCTAGTAAAGTTAGCAGACTTCGAGTCGAAAAGCGTGCTCTCTTCGTGATCTCTGCCTACGCGACCATCGACTGTAGCACGGACACAGTCAAGGACTAGTTCTATCAGAACCCTGATGAGCTGCTCCCAAGGGCTCCTAAAACAGACAACGTTGTTTTGGCAGGAGACTTCAACGCGTGTGTCGATCGTCTGCTGCCATGTGAGAGCCATCTCGGGGAACTGCATGGATATGATGATGTTCGCTCAGACAACGGTCATCAGCTTTCCCTCTGCAACACGAGCTTTCGTCATGCTGGACGCCAGCAAATCACTTGGCGCCCTCCATCATCAACCCAGCGCTGGTCACAGATTGACCACATGCCATAAGTCGCAGGTGGCGCGGCAGCGTACGCAAGTGTCGATCACTTTGGTCAACATGCGTCGATGCCGATGATGCATTGATATGTGCAAACGTTTGCATGCGTTTCGGTGGTCCACCTAGGTCCAAACACACCCGTATGAACACCTACAACTTGGAGGACCCAACGATGAAGAAGTAGTACCAGCAAAGGATTCGTGTAAAATTCGCGCTCTCTCTTACTCTAAATGTTGGTCAACACTGGTCAAGTCTGCAACAAGCCATGCTGTCGGCCGGTTTGTCCAGCTGCGGTCTCACTCGCATCACTCCAAAAAGCTGAATCTCGTGAAGATCGTTGGAATTGCTGGATCGCCGACGGGCGCTACTTGTTGGCGCAGAGCACAACGAACAACGCCCGTCTAGTAAGCAACAGCGGAAAGCAAGGCTTCGCTCTGCTCATAAATCCTGGTGATCAAAACAAGCTGATGGGATGGAAACCAATGCATTAGCTGGCAACTTCCGCCGTCTATGTTGCATCATCAGGGCCACCGGTTGCAATTCCCATACTACCAGCCAGACGATTTGCGAATCAGACGGCACGAAGATCACCAACCTTCAAAGAGGATTAAGTCGCTGGGTAGAGCATTTCGCTCTTCAATTCAACCACCCAACACAGCCTCCTGTGGCACCTCCAGCCCCAACGGATGATGTTTGGCCTGTCTTTACAGCCCCCCCCCCAACTGAAGCAGAGATCCGAGATGCAATCCAATCTTCGAAACGCCATAAAACTCCTGGTTTTGACAGCCTATCACTGGCTTTATTAAAAAATGGCGGGTGTACTTGTCAGCGAAATCATATCGCAGTTCACGAAAGTTTGAATTGAGGACAAGGTTCCGAACTCATGGGGAAAATCGGTCATTATTTCGATACACAAAAAGGGCTCCCGCGACGATTGCTGCAACTACCGTTGAGCACTGTCACATACAAAATCTTCGTGTCTGTGCTACTTCGCAGGATTTCAACGATTAAGGAGGAGTTTTCCCGAGAAACACAAGCCGGATTTCGTCCAGGCCGCGGCTGCATCGACCAAATCTTCACGCTCAGCCAACTTCTCGGACTCCGTCAAATTCACCGCCAGCCAACAATAGTAATGTTCTTGGACATCCGAGCGGCATTAAATTCAATGGATAGATCTGCGTTGTGGAACTGTTTACTGAAAAAGGTGTGCCCGACATGTTTGTAACCACCCTGAAAGAATTTTACAACCACACGTCGGGTAAAGGGCTTACGGCACCCTCTCTTCTACATTTTCTATGAGCAGCGGTGTTCGTCAAGGTTTCCCTATCTCTTCTTTCCTCTTCAATGTTGCCATCGAAGATATCGTCCAAGGAGCACTGGAAGGTGTCCAGAACTGCGGTGTAGTAAGCTCCTCCCGGGAGACAGAGTCACGCACTACGCCGATGATATCGCCTTGCTGGGGAACGACCCACAAAACAGTGCAGACAGACTTGGACCTCTTAGCAATGGAGGCGTCTACATCCTTGTGCACATTAATTGAAACAAACTACGATTGTGTCTCTTTTTCTATGAACATCATGTTTTTATACATGAAAGCTACCGTTTTGCATTTATTTTTTTATTTTATTTTGGGAATAGATATTTCAGCACTGTTTGTGAATCAGACGATGTAATAACTGCGCATGTCTAGTAGTTACATCATCCAAGATTGCATCATACTTTTTATGGTTAGTAAGGTTTTTGTTTCAACTTCTTGTTTTTGTGATTCAGTCATTTTTTGAAATGGACGTGACTCCCAGAAGGCGCATGAAGATCGTGACCTTGCACGAACACACAGACAAGATCTACAGGGACATAGCAAGAATAGTAGGCGTCAGTCCGGCAACCGTCAGCCGTGTGGTCAAAATGAAAAAGGAAACGGGATGCATTTCGCCAAAACGCAAAGGGAAATGTGGTTCTAAGAGGAAAACCACTGCCAGGGATGACGATTACCTAGGGCATGATGCGCTCTCCAAAATATATAGTTCTCCAAAGAAGAGCTGTTCCAGAACTAAAAAAGCCATTTCCTGACGGATCTGGCGTATTTCAACAAGATCTGGCCCTGTGCCACACATCAAAAATGGTCAAGACTTTTTCAATACTAATCAAATAACCATCTTGGACTGGCCTGGGAATTCACCAGATTTAAACCCCATTGAAAATATGTAGTCTATTTGCAAGCAACGACTTCGTGGCATGGACTGTACGACAAAGGAGAAACTTAATCAAGCTATAATTCAAGTTTGGTACAGGGACACAAGATGGGCTAAAGTTTGTTCAAAATTAGTGGATTCCATGCCAAACCGTATAATAATGCTACTCAAAAGCCGAGGTCATGTTGTGTATTGATGTGAGTATATTAGTGCAATTCATTATAACAATTTTGAAAAAAAGGTTTTTCAGTGTTTTCGCAGTTTGTTTCAATTAATGTGCACAAGGATGTAAGTAAGGCTTACAATTCACTAGCAGCAGGCAAATCCTCATTGGATATGTCTAGTAGCTAACATGGACATTGGGTCTCTTCGCGGTCTCTGGAACTTATCGACGCTTGCCGGCATATTCCGGCTGGAAGCGAGCACAATGAAACTCGCAAAGAGCTCCGGGCAAAACTCCGTGCTAGCCTGAAGAGAGACCGCGAATCTTGCTGGTCTCATCGTGCGTCAGAGATGGAAATGGCCGCTGCCCTTGGTAGCCATCGAAAGTTATTCCGTCTGATGCGGGAAACGGGCAGCAGGAGACCTGGTGTTAGTGAAACTATCCGTGACAAGAGTGGACAGCCTATCCACAATTTGTCAAAACGTTTGGAGCGTTGGGCTGAGCATTTTGAAAAGCAATTTAATCGGCTAGAATTGTTCGATTCTTCGCCGGTCACTGATCGCCCTGCTCCATGGGCTGTCCCTTTGGATCCACCCTCTCGCTCAGAAGTCAAACTTGAGATCGGACTGTTGAAGTTGAACAAAGCCGCGGGAACAGATGATCTTCCTCCAGCCCTCTTCAAATTCGGAGGCTCTGCTCTTGTTGATGTTATAAATGAATTACTAGTGAGACTGTGGGAACAGGAGACTATCCCAACCGACTGGAGCCGCTACGTTATTGTTCCCATCTCCAAAGGCGGCTCGCGCTCCGAATGCGGCAACCATAGGGGAATCAGTCTGATCTCCATCGCCTCCATAATTCTTCACAGACTGACTGGTGCTCGTGAAAGTCAGATTCGTGAGGAGCAAACCGGGTTTCGTCGTGGTCGTGGCTGCATCAACCACATCTTCACCTTGCGTCAGTTGTTGGAGCACCGTCACACATATTGGCGGCCCACCGTAATCGGGTTCCTCGACATCAAAGGTGCCTTCGATTCGGTTGATCGATGTGCCCTTTGGAAGTGTCTACTCAAGAAAGGTGTGTCCGAGATATATGTAAATATTATCCAAGCATTATATGCGCGTAGCACGGGCAGAGTGAGGGCTTACGGCAAGCTGTCGCCACCCTTCAATATCTCCAGCGGTGTGAGACAACGATGCCCGCTGTCACCTTTCCTCTTCAAGTTCGCTATTGACGAAGTCATGAAGATTGTATTTACAGGACAAGACTTGGAAGGTGTGGAGCTACTCCCAGGAGAACGACTTCTTGACTTGGAGTATGCAGACGACATTGCCCTCATCTGTGGCAGCTCCCAGACGTGCCAAGCCGCGCTGGACAGATTAGCACTGGCTGTCAGCCGCTTCGGGCTTTGCTTTGTACCATCGAAATGCAAAGCGTTCCTCCAAGATTGGCAGGGATCGCCTCCTGCGCTGACCCTTGGTGGGGATCAGCTAGAAGTCGTTCGGAAACTCAACTACCTGGGAAGTTTTATCACCGCCCTTGGTATCGAAGACGTGATCACGAACCGTATAGCAAAAGCTCGAAGTGCTTTT